CACATTTCTGTTAGGGTTTTTGGTTATGTTGGTTATTGTTCAGCTTCATGCATGCTAGGGCCGGATAGTGTGCTTGTTTTCCTTCAAATTTATGCGTTTTCTGTTTGTTTTGCTAGAAATTGAACACACAAATGAAATTCTGAATTGCGGGAACGAAAATATAGATTTTTTTTTAATCTTCTTATTCAGTTTGTACCGGAATTTAAAATTTGAAGTTGTTGTTTATGTTCAAGGAAATTCATTAGGGAGTGGCTGCGGCTCGGTCAGTTTACAGTCTTGTAAAGGTTAGGATTCGTGTTATTGGAAGTCTTGGGGGATGGCAGGAAGATGGTGAAGCGGAACCATGAGTGGCAGTGAGATGGAGAAACCACCAAAAGACAAGGAGACGAAGACACCGCCTCCTACTACCCAGGTTTAATTTAGGCCTGATTTTGAGTTGCATATTATTTGATTTGACTTTTGTAAGTGATTTTTGTTTTTCTTTTTACTGTGCTCTATATAGCTCATTCTTTGTTTTTCACGAGAATTTCGTTTCCTGTAACGACCGAGTTGTTCTTAAATAAAATTATGGGCTGAGAAAGTAATTTCAAGATCGAATTTAGTATTACGTGTTTAAAAATTCTATCACAGAAACAAATACATATGAGCAAACATTTCCTTAGTGTTTGTTTCATTTTCTTTAAAGTAAGTACTCAGAGATTCTAATTGGTTGTCTTCTTGTTGTTACTTAAATTTTTTCTATCAAACGTCACTGAAAATGTTAGCTTACAGTTTCTTAGTGTTTATTTCATTTTCTTTAAAGTTTGTCCTCACAGGTTCTGTATGATAATCTCTTGTAATCGTTTTACAGGAGCAGACTTCAACCACAAGCGCTGGCGCAGTTAATCCTGATTGGTCAGGTTTTCAGGTTACCCTGGGGCAATAGCTTTTAGTTTAATCCTGTTTGTTGGGATGGCATTGTGGTTAAATCATTATGTATATATATCTTTTTTGGTTTTCAGGCATATTCTCCTATTCCTCCACATGGTTTCTTGGCATCAAGCCCTCAAGCCCACCCATATATGTGGGGAGTTCAGGTACATCTACTGGTTTTTTGGGTCTATTATGTCTGCTTGTTGACCCACATATATTCTGATTGGACTGGAAATCTGTTTTTATAGCACTCTTCCTCTTTTTCTTGTTTTTATTATTATTTCAATTATGGCGCTATTAATGTATTTGGGGATACTAACATGAAGCCCGTGTCTCTGGAGCGAACTTCTTGTTTGGTAATGTTAATGTATCGTTGAGTGCTGTAATGGTTCATGCCATTTCTGATAACTGTATGATGCATTACATACAATATTCGTGACAGTACTTTAAGGAATATGGCCTTGTGCTTTTGGGGAAGGAATGCTCTGTGTATTTATCTAAACGTAGGTTTTTATCTACAGCATATTATGCCTCCTTATGGCACGCCTCCACATCCATATGTTGCAATGTATCCACCTGGTGGCATATACGCTCATCCGTCCATTCCCCCGGTATTTCTGGGCACTATAATTTTACTTCTTTTTTTTTATGTTTAAAACTTCTATTATCTTTTTGTCTGACGGATTTGCTTAATACTGTATGCTATATTCCAATGTGTATAATAGGGATCATATCCTTTTAGCCCATTTGCAATGCCTTCTCCAAATGGCATCACTGAGGCCTCTGTGAGTTTCCTCCTTATTTTATGACAGGTATCATTGTCTTTAAGCGGATAAAAATGACATGTGAAGACGTATATAGGGTAATACCGCAGGCAGTTTGGAGGGAGACGTTAAGCTACCTGAAGTGAAGGAAAAGCTGCCAATTAAAAGATCAAAAGGAAGTTTGGGCAGTTTGAACATGATTACAGGGAAGAATAATGAGCTCGGTAAAACATCTGGAACATCTGCCAATGGAGCATACTCTAAGAGGTTCTCTAACTTTTCTAGAAATTGCCTATGTAGAATAACAATTTTATTGATGTGCCAATTGGATCCTTGGGTGATGTGAATCTGACCTGATTTTTGTAGTGCTGAGAGTGCCAGCGAAGGTTCAAGTGAAGGAAGCGATGCCAATTCTCAAAATGTAAGTAGTGGTCATTGCTTGTCGATTGACATCTTCCTCTCGAATGAATCGATTTTGTTCATTTTCGGATGTGACCTGGATAGGTTCTGTTTCTGTAGGTGAGTCAAACTAATGTTGCATGCCATAAGTTTATTGGGTTCTTTATGCATTCACTTTATCTGAAGAATAAGTAGTGGGACCGGACCACCCCCCCCCCCCCCCCCCCCCCC